TAATTATCAGAGAACGGTAAAAATGTGACGACTAGATTATTTTAATTATTTTGTAATACGCGAGCGCGTTAATTGATATTTCAACGCGTTAATATTAGACGGTTCTTCTTCCTTAATTAATGGCTCTCGCTTCCAACAGTAATAATAGGAGGTCGATGCGGCAATATTAGACGGTTAGTGAAAGCGGCCTTGGGGATTGTTTTGATGTGGAAGACACAGTCCCCGCTCACCGTTAGACCGAGCTCTCCGAGCAGTCATTCCATTACCGCGGCTCGGTGCAGTAAGCAGATAGCTGTATGTGCACCGCTCTATTTAATATTTCTTTCTAAAACATATTTTTGTAATAACACTATTAAAGATCATACTAAACGTTGTATTTTACGTTCCAAAAACGTACTTAAAATATTAAATAAGAAATAAATTAGAAAAAGTTTTTTTAAATAAGAAATATTAAATAACTGCTTAATTAATTTTGTTTTTTATATAATTTAAATACATTTTAAATACATATATATATATTTAAAATATATATTTTAAATAACATTATTTTAAATACTACCGACTGCTGACTGATACGACGTATTTAAAATATAAAACATAAAATAAGTTTTATAAATTTATTTAAAGTAATAAAGATTAATCTTTTAATCTTTTTTTTTTTACTAAAAACATCTATTTTAAATAACTTAATTTTTTAAAAATAAAAAGTAATAAAGAACGTTTAATTCTTTAAAGAATTAAATTTAAAGAATTGAACGTTCTTTATTACATAACTGGCTCTTAGTCCTTCAATTATTATATGTTATTTTATTTTTTAAATAGGACAAAATTGTATATTAGTATAATAATAATTTAACTTTAAATTATTTGAAACAGAATCGAATTAGTATTTTATCGCAGAATTAATGAGATAATTTCTATTAGCAGTTTAACTTTAACGAATCGTTTAATATGATATTGTATTGTAATTATACACCGAGGAACATACCTTACATTTATTTTATAATTTTAAATAATTCGTATTGACTAACAATCCAACAGTTTTAATGCTCTTGAATCTTCATAATGTTGAGTGACATCGTACAACAAAGCGTATGCAGAGAATATTAAAAATAAAGTAAAGAATAGATTGTTTTACTTATTTTATAATATCCGTTAATATTTCGACAGTTATAGATGGTCGGCACGCGACCTTGTGGTTGAGGCGGAAGGACAGGCGGGTGGCGTGTCATTGTAACGCGTGTAGTCAACGCGCAGTCATTTAATTGACTCATACATAGGTTTAAACGCGACGAATTGGATTAAACGAAATATTGTACTTTGTGAATATTTACAATATACGATTGTTCGCTCGCGTGATTAAAACTATCCATAAAGGGATCGAGATGACAATCGTGTATCACGGAACAGATATTTCGTACGGTTCATTCATTTGGAATCAAAACACGATAGAAAACAAAATTTATTACTATTTCGCGTTAATTATGGACTATAATATTTTTTAACGTAACAATTTTCTCTTCCTTGAGTATAATCTTCTCGATTATAAAGTACTTCGAACGATATCACATAAGTTGTAAAAAAACAATTAAGTCAGTCTCGTTTGTGCACAGTGGTTGAATGTTAACATTTGTTATCTGCAATTTGATAATTTTAATTTAATACCGTCTAACAATTTGTTGTGATTCACTGTGTATGAGACTGACTGGCCTAAATTATTCTGAAGACCGGTTTTGACAGTGTTTGCGATACAGCAGCGTTATGAACATGGTGAGCCTCCCCACTTCCGGTAAAATAATCGTAATTATGATAAATTCAATTTCAAAACTATTAGTGTTCTAAGAAATTCTGGGAAATTATTTCTCTGAATTCCAGCATTCTTTTTATTAATTTTTCTTTTCTGCCTTTATTGGTCATATTATTGTGTTCTTTAAGATTAAATTGTCATCTGATTTTATTTCTTGGTTGTGGGGGAGCTCGCGGTGTTTAAACATTGTTTAATTTGTTGTCAATTTTAAATTATATTTTATTTATGTAATTTTCCATTGTCTCTGAAGAAGGCTCAATGCTTTTTTAAACATCTCGATATAATAATTTTTGACGAAGTTATTCTATCATAAAGTTTGCCTATTTTTGCAGAGTGAAACATGTGTTGCGTTAAATTTGTTGCCCGGTGTATCTTGTATGTTAATTTTTATAAATCTCTTTCTCTCTCACTCTTTGATGACTTACAATTAAAAAGTTGATATGTTATACATTTTTTAGATAAAAATAAATGAAAACATTTTCAAATTTTAGAAATAATTTGTTTCAAATAATTTAAAGTCAAATTATTAAATTTGGTCCTATTTAAAAAATAAAATAAAATAGAGTAATTGAAGGGCTAAGCCAGTGATGTAATAAAGAACGTTTAATTCTTTAAATTTAATTCTTTAAAGAATTAAACGTTCTTTATTACTTTATTTTTAAAAAATTAAGTTATTTAAAATAGATGTTTTTAGTAAAAAGGATTAAAAGAGATTAATCTTTATTATTTTTTATATAAATAACTTTTTAAAACTTATTTTATGTTTTTTATTTTAAATATGTCGTACCAGTCAGCAGTCGGTAGTTTTTATACCGACTAAATAGAATAATGTAATAATATAAAAATAGCATTCGTATTCATTCAAACATATATGTATAATTCAAATATAATCTACTTTT